TCGGCATTCTTTGAACCGGAAAATTTGCTTACAGTATTGGTTATGTTATGCACACAAGTATTTTGCTCTGTCACGTTTTCTCCTTTCAAATCCAAACTTTCCTTGTGCATATTTTGGACCATAGGCTCATCAACCGTCATGTTTGATCTATAAAATTCCAGCTCGGCTTCCAAATCTTGTATCTCTTTTTCCTTATCTGTGAGTAGATCATTAACTTTCTCCAATTCATCATTATCATATTCTGCTTGCTCTTCCATCATTCTCAAATATTGAAGAGACTCCATCTGCAGTGCTGCCTTCTCCTCCTGCAACCTTGTAATCATAGACATTGCTTCATTTGTGGCGACAGCAGAAGCGTTTCTTTCTTCCTCCAGTTCCTTCTGTAAAGAATCCATGCATTTCTTGTAATACTCAATTTGTCGCTGCAATCGATCAACACTAGACTCCCCTTCAATTTCAGTAATATTGCTCTCATCCAGAGACCCAAGACCAGATTCCACCGAGGATGACTTTCGAAGTACCTGAACTTCATTTGAGCTAGAAGTCTCAGCTTGTGTCTCGGGTGAGTGAACATGATTTATGGGAACAGCTGATGATGCATTATACCCTTGAGAAGAAATCTCTAATGGTGATTGCTCCAGTTCTTCCTCGACTTTATCAACTTCCTCAGTGGTTGGCTGCTCTATGATAAAACCATTTTCTTCTCTTTCCTTAGTGGCAGCAGAGGACTTATTCGCATTGCTTGAATTATCTTGTATAGGATTTATAGGAGCAGAATCACACACCACTGGCTTAGTTTCATCAGATGCTTTTTCCCCTGCATCAATCTTCTCTAAATCTTTCGCATTCTTTTCTGATACCATTCCGGCATCACTTGTTTGTGAAACATGTGCTGCGGCTGGAAATATTTCAGAAAGCAAATGTGAAATAACTATTTGAATAACAAAATTGGAAATACAAGGAGATTAGAATGTTACATTTTTCTGATGACGTTCCATCTTGTGCATGTGTGCCATTCAAAGTTGTAAGCTCGGATAGGGGAACAGGAAGAGAATCCTGAGAAGGACAAGCAATCTTACTGTATTTTGATTCTGATTCTCTATTAGAAACATTCACAACTATAGGTGATGATGAAACTTGATCTAGTGGAATGAGCTCAGGCTGGTCAGAACTCAATGGCTCTTGATTTCCTTGCCGCAAATTAATTTCTTCTGCACAATTGGCATTCATATCTTGCTGTTTGTTGACATTAGGCTCCACACACTGATCCGAAGGCAAAGGCATGAGTTTGGAAGAACTATAATTCGGCTTTGACGGATTTGAATCACTCGGAATACATTTTGCGGAAGATGCAGTTGTAATTTGAGCCATATGGTAGTTGCTGGCCTCAAAGTTTTCAGAAAACACACTACTAACATCATCATCATCAGAAAATGGAAATTCAGACTCAGAATCAGAATTAAGTCTCAGCTCGGTGTATCCCAGATGAGATAATGACTGAAAATTACTTTTTCCCTCTGATCCAGAAAGTTTATCCCTCGTTTTCTTAAAGCTATCCCGGTGATTTAAACGGCTTTGCCTTGGTGCACATGGCAAAGGAATGTATGGTTTAAGAACAGATCTCCCAGGTGATTTTCGTTGGATAGATCTAGGGGAGTTCTGGTCTGACTTCCAAAGCTTACCACAACAAGTACACTGTCTTGTGCCCTTAGGGCCAGCAAACAGATCCCTGCTCAGTGAAGGGCTTTGGGAACCAGAACCACCAAGAACAAGCCCAAGTTTACCCACCAACAATCTGTGAGTTTTTGCACTGCGCTTGTTCTTTGCAGTGACTGACAAAAGACAATCATCACACATCTTATTCCCATCTGCTAGCTTACCATGAATATGACATGAAACCAGAGACGATATTTCTGATTTGTGATTGCTGCAAAATAGGTTCTCATACAATTCTGGCTTTTCATGGCCCAATATATGATCAAGCCTAGAACACAACAAACAAGGCAATTGCAGTTGGCAATAACTCGCAAACTTGGTGAGCAGATATGACAACAAGGCATCGAGTAGCAGCAGAAATATCAAAAGCCACTCACAAGCTGCAGATGTAAGATGGGCAATGAACCCCTTCATTCTCTTTGGTTTGGCAAATGAAGTTTCCTTTCCACCTGATGCCATCTCCACCATAGTTGCTCTACACATCCACAAGGTTCATGACATGACTGGGAAGGTCATCAATCAAATGACAGCCACCCAACTCAAAGCTCAAAATTGCACCATCAAGATGGATGATGAGCTAGGGCTAGAAGGCTACAAACAGGTCACAAAACAACCACCATTAGCCTCACAATAAAACTAAAGCTAAATGCATTGCATTTTATTTTCTTTTGTTTAAGACCAAGTATCTTCCTCAGAAAGCAATCCTCTCAATAATTAACAGAATTGCATATTCAGAACTTGAACTCGAAACCACTCGTTAACCTGAAACAATCACATCAGTGATGGATTGCATTTAATTGACGCGCCATTTTAACAACGAACCATTCCGGACATCATCCATAACCATAGACAGCCTAACCACAACCAACATCAAACAAATTGAGCAAAGCCATAAATAAATCCCTAACTTCTTTAACAATGACAATAAAATAAAATAAATAAATAGGAAAAGATTTCCTTTCTGCGATAGTAATTGATGAAAACGAAACATACACTCCCTCGTGCAACCGACCTATACTAATAATTGTCGAGTAGCCGTAAACATAAACAGAAAGTGAAATGAAACCAACCCAACCGTAACGCATTACACCTTAGATTATCAACTACCAACCCAAGTGCATGTTTAGTTACGATAATTAAATCAAATAAGTTCAAAGGACACAAATTTCAAAAAATAATTCAGAAAATTTGTTTGATTTATTACTTAATTTTTTTTCAATTCATATTTGATGTTGGAAAATGGTGGTACCTGTTCTGTTGTGCAGCTTGCGAGAGAGAAAGAGAGAGGATGAGGTACAGAGGCAATTTCTGATCAAAGATTGCATACAATTTGCTTTCCTTCCAAAAAAGGAATAAAGTAAATTATCAATAAATAAAAAATTAAAAAATTAAAATAGTAAAGAAAATGAAGATTGAACAAAAATAAGGCGCGGAATTACCAGTTGGTCCCCCTCTGGCCTCTGCTTCATCCACTGACCGTTGAAACCAACTGCCTTTCATTTGTTTGCTGGCATTCAAATGCAGCTCAAAATTATTTTTAATTTTTTCAATTGTTTTTATTTGAAATAACTTTCATTTCTGAAATTTTAATGTTTCTTATATGAATGAATGAGTGTAATTCCATGTAAAATATTACAACTCATTATTACAAGTTAATATTTTATTACATGCTAAATATTTATTATATATATATATATATAAATATTATGTTTAAATATATAAATTATATATTTTTTATGATAATATATAAATTATATTTAAAATTTATAATAAATAATTTATATTGTAGTATAATATTATTTTTTATTTATTGGTAATTTATTTTAAAAATATTAAAATTTAATTCATAATAAAGATAAATAAAAATTAAATTAGATAAAAAATTCTTAAAAATCCTTCTGTAAAAAAAAAACTTTTAAAAATACTCATCTAAAATAAATGTCGTGATTAATATATAAAAATTTATTATTTATTATGATGAATGTTGGATTGATGAGTATTCGCAGAAGAGATGAAACTCAATTCTTGTTGAATAGATTGCTGCATAACGTGTGAGTGCATTATACCTAATTATTACATTCATCACTCATTGGATTAAAGAAAAACGTATTAAACAAATAAATCAAATTAAATAATTAATAAATTTTAACGATTATTTTTGTGTGTAATATGCTTTGGTTCATGGTTATGCTGACTGCTCAACACGTTGTTATCGCACAGCTAGCTGCAGCAAGGATTACGTAGCTAATGCTATCAATCATTTTCTGAAAAAGCTATTCAATTAATGAGTTTCTAACATGGTATATATTTTAATATGCTGAAACAATGGATCGTATCTCTGCGAATGTATTCTTCTTTTTTGCTTTCCAAGAAAACAAAATAAGAATAGTATTGTGAAAGAGAATAAGTGCATGCTTGGAAAATACTAACTAATTGCATGCATGAAGGGACGGGTGTTCATTGCTTTGTTGAATTTAGTGTATTATTCTCCGGTTGGTAGACTTTGATCATCAAATCACCTAACTCAACTTTAAATTTTATAGTTAATTCGAATCATTTGGGGTTAAAACTCAATTAATCAACCAATTATTAATTTGGGTTTCAAAAAAATTATAATTGGTCCTAGTCGGTTTCTTATGCCACTTTGAAATAAGATCACTAAAATTTATCACTCAAACGATCAAATAAATATGGTATTGTAATACCTAAAGATTTTCTTATAAGATTTCCTTTACACTTTTGTACACATATCTTAATAGATTTTTATTTTCCTTATTTTTTTAGCCCTTGTATTGCTAGATATATTTGTTTAATTTAGTTGACTTAGCTGTATCCGTTAATGTGTGCTTACAATTATAATTTTTCATACAAGTTTAATCTCTCGAGCCTTTAATTAATTAATTACTACAATCAGATCCTTAATTCTGGTCAACTTTTATTTACATAAACCTTCAAAAAAAAATTTCTACTCAAATTTAAAATGGACAATAGAAATGATTTTATGGAATCTGATAAAATATGAGACTTTAGGGTATGTCAAGTTAAGGGTCATTTTATCAAAGAAATATAATTTAGGTAGTTGGGTCTCATTTAAGGTAAAGATTAAGGTTTCAGAGAAGAAAATTTTTAAAACTTTCTAATTTTAATTTGGATAAAATGTAGTATTTTAATTATTGAGTTTTGAGAGAAAAGATGGTTTAATACGTGTTTTAAAAGTATTTAGTTTTAGTTTCATTTTTTATTTTCTATTTAAAATTTTATATTTCAACAAATATCCATGAATTTTAATTATGTTTAAATGACATTTTTAAAATTTTAAGGAACAACGAATTTTAAAAGTTTAATCACTTCAATTGAATTCTCTTTATTTATATAATTTCTTATTATAATAATATACTTAAATTATTATTATTTTTTATACAATTCTACGTTTGAATAATTACAAAAATATATATATTTTAATTATACACATAATTGAAGGGTTCCTCGCGGTCTTGGAACCTCAACTTAAATAGTTTTGATGCCGAGCAGTTTGTCAACCAAGTTTGTTGCTTATCTTTCTTCACTATTCATTGTGACTGTGCCTCCCATTTTGGCTTTAAGATTGATCAATCTTATTAAAAAAATTCAAGTCCCACATCGACTACAATTAGGCAATTACTTAGTATATAAGTAGATAGCAACCCTCACCTTACAAACTAATTTTGTATGGTTAGGCTTCAAATTCACAATTTGAAGATGGTATCAGAGCTATCTAGATCCATTCTAAATGGGTCACCCACCATTGAAACATGCACCAACATGAGATAGGTGTATTGAGAAAAAAATTGAAGTCCTACCAACATGCCCCATGGGCATGAGAGGGTGTATTGAGAAAAAAACTTAAGTCCTGTCAATCCTAAATCATTAAAAAGGGTCACCTACCATTTATTCACCTTACAAGCCAATTTTGTAGGGTTGAGTTAGGCTTCAAATCCACAATTCTAAGAGACCTTGTTTTGTTATTGGCAAAAGTTATTTGATTTTATTTGGATGCAAGCAAAGTCCCATATCGTTCAAACAAGAGGATGAACATGAGTTTATATACACACAGTTGTCTCCAATATTGGTCGAGAGGCCTTTTGAGTGATGTCCAAAAGCAAAATCGCGAGAGCTGGGTTTATATACACACAGTTGTCTCCAATATTGGTCGAGAGGCCTTTTAGGTGATGTCCAAAAGCAAAACTGCGAGAGTTGAGCCCAAAACGGACAATATCTCACCAATATGGAGACATGTGTATGTGTGTATTAGTTTACAATTTTAAAGTTAGGCCAGTTTTGTTAACAAAATAAATGGACTATATATATTTTTAGTGTTAGTTGTAACGACCCGCCACGGTCTCTACACTTAGTGGAATCGCACTACAACTGGTTAACTAAGAGAATATTAAACTGGATAACACATACATACAGGCATAAATATAAAGATCGAAATAATTAAGTTTCTGTATATAAAATATAGCACCATATATGTACAGTCATCCCAAAATATTCCTTAGTGCCGGTCAAGCACTGACAAAAAAAATGTTACCCAGAATGGTAACTCAAAACACGAGACTCAGCTCCTCGTCTCACAACGATCATCTCTACTCCCAAGCTATCCCTGACCTGCTCCCATACCAAGTATGATCATCGCAGTTCCACCACATGGAAAACAGAAGGGTAAGCTAGAATTCAAAGATCAATAATACAAGTACAGAATAAAAAT